GTTTGCTACACGTTCTCCCCTTCAACGTGGAAATTAAGTGATGAAACTTCTCATGAAAATAAGTGTCCCTAACATGTTCAAATTTTCAGAGAGGACAGAAATGAAATTAAACAAACCAAACAAGGGTAATTTGAAGCAGCTTTTTCACAAAAAGCTTAGGTAAGGAAAAAGAAAAATAACTACTTCGGGTATCTCACAGAAGTTTTAGCAATTTCTTATGGACCCCTCCCTACACTGATCCCTTCATCAATGTCAATTTAGATTAAGGAGCAGGTTCAACTTATGATTAACTCTGATTAGAATGCATTACAGTAATAAGGGAAGAGTGTCAACAGTCTTAACTCTGATGTAATTACTTCTGCCAGTATAGGGTTAATAACAACATAGTACTCCACAGTACTTGCTGCAGGCTACATTTTTAGGAAGGGACCAGCCAGACTATTGGCTGGCATTTGGGTTCCTTGAAAATCTATTGTGCTCTTGGAGAAGGGGGCTGTAGGTTCTGGTTGTAGAATGGTAGCCTGCAGTAGGCTACCTAAGCCAAATCACAGTGTCTTACCTGGAAAAGTGTGATTTATTTTACTCGATGAAGTCTCTGCGAGAGAATCCAGAGAACCTGTTAGTCTGAAAAGCAATAACACAATGAAGAAGTCATTTCAACTCAACTCTGAACAAACCTACCGCTGGAGTCCTTCTTGTCAAATGTTATTAAGTTCTGATTCTTTCCCTTCTCCATCCACCCCCAAGAGACACTAACATTTCAGTTGTAATCAGGCTGGTATGTACGAGGTGCCTGGAGCAAACTAGTTTATCCAAGTTATTTGCCTTTTACTCAGCAAGAGAACATGTATAATTTTGAGGCAAGTTCTTTAACAGGTTCGCTGACCTAGGATATTCAAGGAAAGAAAAGCAAGAACATGTCTGGCAGAGTAACTAGATACAAATACAGGAGGAAAGAGCATACTATTCCTCGGATGTTCTTCCTGAAACCTAACGAAGAGACTACAAATAAAACGGTGGATGCTTTGGTTCCTCTGTGCAGTTAGCTGGAATAAGAGTAGTATTTCCAGTCATGTCCAAGGGCAACTCCCTTTTATAACCAAATTTAGCTCAGCGCATCAGGATTGGGTCATGAAAGTAAGGCTTCATGAACACAGACTGTATCAGAAATAGAGGCCCTGGAATGAAAATACTTGAAGTGGCTACAAGAGAAACAGGGAGAGCTGCATTTGCAATTTATACTCTGCTTTCAAAAAGCTCATCTAAAACCCAACAGGTTTTTAATGGAGGTTATAAACTTCCATTAGCAGAAGAAAACATTTATTTCTTCCATACCTGCTGCGAAACTTTGTTTCCCACTGGAAACGTATTAAGAAAGCATTTGGCAACACAAACATCATTACAACAGCTTCAGTGCTTACCTCTGTACACGAGATGGTGGTGCAAAGATACCGTATCTGGGAAGACAACTGAAGTACTGAATGCCTCCCACGGAACCATCATTCTTCCCGTGAGGCTTGTCCAATTCAATTCCACACCAGAATCCTACATTTCAAAACAGTAAAATCACGGTATTTCGAACAAAACACCACAGGCTTTTCTTCATCTAGACAGTTGGTACAGTTGGCATTCACCCACATCAAGGAAAACAGTTTCTAGTTAGAAACTGTCTAGATAGCTATTTTATAATAGATATATTTATTATTATTATCTATGTAACTATGCAAAAATTTATATAATAATAATCTAAAGAGAATTACCTCAGCATTTTTATATGCTTTCAAGAAAATTATTGACATTTTAATTCATATAGAAAAGGTAAAACCCTTGATACATATACTAAAGCTGAACAGAATGTTACTGAATATAAGAGTGGCTATTTGAGAAAAAGGAGACAGGAAAGAAGAGCAGTAATGGTTCAAGTTTCCCTCTTTAGTCCTCTGACCACATGGCTTATGCCTCATCTGCGATCATCAACAGTAAAATTAAAGTTTTGATATTAATTCATTCCTTCTCTCCATCTAGGAAGTTATAATTAATACAAATTGCAAGCCTGGTTGTATGATATTGAGAGAAGAGAGTAGGACTCATAACTGGCCACAATTCATCTCGTACAGAACACTGAATAGGCATCAAGATGTTAATAAGCTTGATCATTCATAACCTGTGATAAATGTGAGCTAATTATGTAAAGGTGCTAAATTTCATACTCCATTAGCACTCCTTATGCTATCCATCCCCAAAAGATTCAAAATTTAATTCAAGTCACTTGGTACTAAGGCACTGGATAAAATGGTAATTCTAATTATCAGCTCAAGAAACGCAGGAATGACAGCTTATGAATTAGAAGGGCTCAGTACGTCAGAAGTTCTCCCCGTTCTGTTTTTAGAATTAAATAAAGATCTGCATTGCAGCAAACGAAATAAAGTTTGGGTAACTTCCAGAGCTTTGATACATATTAAAATTGACATACTTAAAAATGCATCTGTTACATTTTCTATAAATTACTGTTTCTGCAAATGGTGAAGATTTGTGATCTTTCCATCCTCACTTCTTACAATACCATGTTTTTCTCCAAAAAATTTTGTTTCCTAACTTGGGGGGAGAGGGAGGAGACTTACACTGTTGAACAGCTTTCTGATTTTACACATTATACTAAATTCAGAAAACCAGTCCTTTTCTCATTGTTTACTTTGTAAGCAACAACATGAAGGTAAGAGTGATCACATGAAAGTGTAGAATCAGTTAATTGCAATATCTTAAGCAAGGACTGTCTACATTGAAATTGGGGAAAGGGGTGAGAATGAAAAAAGTATGTAGCTTGTACCACAATCTGGCATACCACAATTCTGACATTTTTTTTAAATATTGATGCCACCAAGTGTCAAGTCAAAGTATTGCCACTTACGTATCAATCAAATGGACCTCATTTAAAATAGGTACTTACACCAATACTTACCAACTGTTTTTGCATTACTTTTGCAATAAGAAGATTATAGATAAGGACATAAAGAACACAGAATTTGGTTACAAAAAAATAGTATTCAGAAATTAGTTTCCATAATTTGGAACAACTTGCTTCCGTTTGAAAACACCTGGCTTCACTGCAATGTGTTTTTTAGCAAGGGAAAGGGAGGGAGGAGCTGAAAGGGAAAAGGATGAGAAACTGGTGGTGGAGTTTGGGACTTTTTGAGATGCTTGTAACTTTTCATCTGTCCTGTGACCTAAAGGTTTGTTAGTTAAGATTTAAATGTTCACAATTACCTTCCTAAAGATGCCAAGAAGATAAGAATGAGACAGGTATATGACATGAGAATAGTACTGCAAGAGATGAGCTGTGTCAGAAAGGCTTACTACAAAAAGTAGAGTCAAGCATGTGATCTCAATAAACTATATACCACTTTGGAGACTAAACTGAGGATTTTCAGAAAGCTTTGTAACAATACCTACGATTTCAACATCAAAATATTTCTCCTAATTAAGCCCTGTTAGTAGACGAGTAAAAGTCACATTTTAAACCATTATTTTTTCCTGGCAGTTGCATTAAAGTAAAAAATATTCAATGAAACATAGGATAGAGAAAAAACTTTGAAACAAACCAGTAAATTTAGATTTTTTTTTTGGAGGAAGTGAGGAAAAAGATGGAGTTCTCTTAGTGTTCACGTGCTCACATGTAAGCTATTCCATATTGATTCTACAACATACACAAAGAGTATTGCAAATACCTGGTGCAAATTTTGTCATCCCACAAAATCTAACAGTGCCTGTTCTCTGTCCTACCACCAGTACTCTGTCTCCAACCTGAATTTCTCCTTCATCAAAATGATTTTTCCTTGTAGCCGGAGAAGAACTATACAACCCTATTGAACAGAAGAACAAGATCTGAAATTAGTGACATTTTATCTTTAAAATTTAAGAAAGTCTTAAATAGTGAGCCAATTGATTGGTAAATAATCTATCTTTAACAGAGCATACCTTTAACACATGGCAACACACTGCAAATTTTGCTTAGACAAAGAATTGCTTTGCTTCAGCATGAGTACTGGTCTTCAGCCTTTTCTCTGCAGCTGAAAGGTACAGTGACCAACTACAAGAACAGTTTTCCTCTTGAAGATGTTCTAAAAAACTTTTTAAAAGTTGCCAAACTTGAGTTTATAGTTAAACTACTTCCCAAGTGTCTGTCTTGAACTATCTCAGATTCTGAAACAGCACAAGTAGTTCTAAGTAAGTATTCAATACCGCAGTGAACTTCCACCTGTGAAAACACACCTCAACAAAACAGACCATACCAGCACTAATTTTAGATGAGGCAGAAGACGCTCTAGTCACTGCTTTTTTATTGCTGCTGGTTGAGTTCCGCTTCTTGCAGTAATTCTGTTTGCCTTCCAAGGAGGTGGTAGAAGAGGAAGAGCTGCTGTACACAGGAAAACCTAAAAGACATAAATGGAAATAGTCCTTCAGAGATCATGTTCGGAAAAGGACAGATTAAGCAGAAGGGAAGGCTTCCGTAAGAAGGTAGTTATCTGTTCTCCATAGCGGGCAGAATACAAAGTGAAAAGCCAAAATTAGAAGTTGTTAGGCAGCATTTACACCTATGTCAGGAATGACATAGGCGCATCTAGCCCTGCCTTGGGAATAAGGTGATAGTTTAGTGCTGGAAGAGGTCTCCAAAAGCCCCTTCTTTGTTACTCCCTGAAAGTTTTTCTAAACAGTCTCAAGCATATTTATTAAAATATGGGAGCCTTAGTAATAAGAGATCATACCACCACACTTTCAGCATCCAGCCTATTAAAGATTTGATGAGAAGTGGAAGGAAGGTGATATTATGTGAGTGAATTATTGTCTGGATTAAAGCCTACTATATTCCATTACATACTGTATTAATATTAAAATCTGTACTATAAAATAAGAATGGGAAATAAATCACTTTTATCTCCATTTGCAAACCCTGATGTCTAAACTGTCTGATAAGACTTATGTTCAGCTTCCCTCCTTTTTCAAGGCTCTCCCCAGTTCTCCCCTTTCCTACCCCCTTCTACCCAAAACAAGGCCGGGTACAGCAAGACATGTGTATGCCTCAGTTTCTCAATGTGAAAAATATAATATTGCTTATCAAACTTGCCGGAATTCGGAGAGGCTTAATTCATTAGTTTTCGCAAAGCACCTCATTACTGACACAGGGTTAGTGTGTTCAATATAATTTAATCCTCCAATTTGGCAAAACGGTAGAGAACTGCAGAAAGGCAAATGCAGTGGGTCAAAGCAAAAGCTGGGAACAGAAATCTAAAGACTCTGAGACATTGGCTGCAGCTATGCTAAAATGAAGAAAATGCAAATTACTAAACAAATGGTGACTAAACAGGCAAAATTCAACTCCAAGTCCAAGGTATAAATATACGTGTGCGTTTGCGAACACATACTACAAGTCCATATTTAGAAGTCAGTCCAGCGATGGATTCAGCGAGGTCAGACCACCTAGCACTTTTACATGAATGCAACAAAAACTGCTGATGCAGCAATACAGACACTAAAAGAAACTAATCCAGTAATTAAATGCTTCATTTTATGGGAAATCATGAGGTGGGAGAAGGAAGAGCAGAAGGGACTTCAGCAGGTCCTATAATCCATTCCTCTTCCATCAGGCAAAACATCTATTTGTTGTATCACTCCCGCCAGGTGAGTGTTTGACCTGGTATTAAAAGCCTCCCATCAGGGAGATCTCGGGACTTCCTCAGCAATATATTTCACTACATAATTATCTGTACTGTTATAACGTTTCTTCCCCCTAATATAAATCTTAAATTACCAGAGTTTTAGCTCAAGATTTCTTACTCTCGTTACCCATGCAGAATGGGTTATACTGCTCTTTGTATTTGAAAGCTTCCTGTTTTATCCCTTTAATCTTCTGTCTTTTTAATCACACAACCACAAATTCCATCAGTCTTTTCTCCTATACCTCCAGTTATAGTGGTGTCTTCTCTGAATTCTCTCCCTTTGATTCACATCTTTTCTGAAGTGCAGTGTCCAAAACTAGATGCAGCATTTTAGCTAAGGCCTGAGCCAAGTAAAGCATCCAGGTCGTGTCGTGTATCTCACGGCTGACACTCCTTTTTTATACATTCCAGTATGTTTCCCCTTTTGAAACAGCATGGCATAGATGACTCACCTTTACCTTGTAATACTCAATATTCCCATGTCCTTTTCTACAAAACTATTACCAGGCATGTCATTCCCAGGGCATATTTATACAGTTGACTGTTTCAGCCTTGCTACATAACTTTGTAGTTGTCCTTACTCTTCTCCATCTTTCTGCTCCCCGCCCCCCACCCACCCCCCAAGACCTTTTTTCCAATTTGTCAAGTGTTTTTTAGGGGGGTTGGGGTTTTTTTAATATTAAGCCAGTCAACTATCTGCCAGGCATCATCTGCGTATTTCATGAACAGATTCTCTATCCCTAGTGTCAAAAAAAAAAAAAAAAAAAAAATTTTAAAGAAGCAAATTACCAGATGCAGCACAAACTCCAGGAAAAGCCCAAGCTGAAACAGCCTTCCTGTTTGACAAAGAACCACTGACAGCTACTTTCTAAGTTGGATGTTGGATTTTCCTAGAGATTCTGCACCTGCCTTATGGCAGCATCATCCAAACCACTAGATCCCAAAATGAGGCTTCACTCCACATCACTCACAGCCTGCAAAGCCTTTGGAGTCCTACTGATGGATACAATATGATATCTGCAATTAAACTGAGACACTGTACTGCCAATTAATTTCATTGCGTGGCCAGAACCTCAACAACAAGCCATTGAATGTCCTCCATGAACATGATGTTGGGAAAACTCTGTCTACACAAGTTTTTTAGCTCACCTCTGACAAAGTATCCTATAGGACAGTGCTTAAATACCTTACACTCGTCTCTTTCCCAAGTCTCTTCCTCACAACTGTTCACTGACGGAGGATATAAAAAGATGCTTTTCTTCGAAAAGAGTATATTCAAAGCCATGCTTCAAATTATTACTTCAAAGAAATGCTGCCTTTACCAACACTTGTAGTATGATTTTATGGACAAAACCTCAAAGGAAACCCAATTTTTACAGTTTGTTAAAGACACCCCTGGAAGTGAGATCCTTTGATGTTTAAAGTTCAGCACACAAAATACTGATGCAGTAGAAGTCACTATCCAATTCTGAAACTAGATAATTGCAGAGAATGATTCATATGTAAAAGGAAATTTTTAAAAAGCTAGAGTTTCGTTTTTCATATTTGAAGTTTATTATTATGAGTCTTCCCTGATACAATGCCAAGACTGTTAAGTGCTCTTGGATGGTAACACTTTATTATACAAGCTTGAACAGAGAGATATAGAAGAGAATAAAAATTCCAACAGAATACATGCACAGTTCTTCATCAAAATCTAAGCAGTCATGATAAAGGGCAGAAGGTCTCCCTCAGAAACCTAAGAAGATAATTCTGCAGATCATCTGTAAGATCATTTACTAAGAGACAGCTTTCAGCCTTAAGGGCTTGTCTATATTCTTGTCCATGTATTTGGATAGAAGCTGTTACCAAACCAACACAGAATGCCAGTCAAACATCCACTCAGATTACTCCTAGTAAACTAAAAGTGTACAGCCTGCTTGCAACTTGAATACAGACAGGCAAGGCAACTTTTTTTTATGATGTAGATACAGGACTTTTACAGAGGTAAGGCAGTATTAATACTTCCTCTGCTCTACCCAAAATTTTTCTCAAGCTGTTAGAAAATAAAAAAAAATTCAGTTACCGTCTTTTGCAGGTACAGTTTTTCCCCTGTTAGCAGCCATAAAGTTGGTTTCAGAAGCACTGTCTTTTTTTGCCATATTTAGGCCTATAAAAAGAATATATACAATTAAATATATACATCCCAACAATGAACAATAATTTTATAGGACAGTCATGTACAAAAACAATTCAACAGATTTGCAGATTAGTGGATGCATGGATAAAATGGATAAAACTGTACAGTTCCTTAGACTCTTGATAAATGGGTAAAACAAGACTGCAGAATTGTTTTGATGGATAAACACAGATGTTAAAGCCCTTAACACATTAAAACGGTCCAAACTATCTTGCCAAACAAGAAACAAATTGTCTGCAAAATATTAATGTTTATATTGAAGGAGTTTTACTTAAATCTTTCAAACATTTACATCCATTATATACACAACATTCACTTTTATAGTACTTAAGGTATACCATTCACTAGTATTAATTTCACAATTTCTGCATTAAAGATTACACATAAAAGTTTTGAGAGAGATTTGAGACCAAACCTTCATTCAGTCTACAAATAATGAAGTATGCCAATATGATTTTTAAGAGCCTCTTAGAGCAGCAATGTTGTGATATGCATATGAACTAGTATTGCCACATAAGTTATAATTTCTGAACAGTCATTTTGCATTTCTGACAGTTTCCTACCGTAACTCAATGAAGAACAAGCTTATCTATGATTTATCCCCTCCCTGTCATGAAAGAAAAAACATCTTTTTTATTTAACTACATCTCTCGGCTTAATTCAGCTACAGGGACTGAAATAGTTTGCAAATGTACTGTATTTTCAACAATTTTATGGTTTAGTCATTAAAGCATCATATCAAAAAACTAGTGTTTGTGACTGATAACACATTTCTCAATTTGATCACAGTTTAAAAACTCGAAAAAGACCTATTATCATCAATCTGATGGATTATTCAAATCCAGTAGAAAGAAATCAAATTTGAAAATCTCTACACAGTATTATATTTTACTTTGCAGCTTATAACCGTATCTACAAAAAGCATATTAATTTTTCTTGGATCATTACAAACCAGTGTATTGCAGGAATGAAGTTTAAGGGAAAGAAATGTAATCTGGTGATGCATGTAAACACTGCAAAACAAAGTTCTGCCTCTGCAGCTTTATCCTCCCACTCCAGCCAGTGAATCAGCCAGGCACATTAATTCTAATGGACCTTTCAATGCAAAAACATCTTACAAATGGCAGCTTCCAGATTACTGTTAGTGGATGTAAGCTCTGCCAGGTAGAAGATGCATAACTCACTCTGATTTTTACCTAAAGCAAGTATCAAATGTGTAAAATTTACAAAGATACAAATGCACCTTTATGACAGAAAAGATAGTTTATGACTAAACTGTCTGGAACACACCATCTGTGACAAAGGAAACAGTCCTTTCCATTATAGTTTAATGAGTTACAAACAGTTCACAACAAACTGAATCAAACATTGAAAAATATTTAACAAAAAAAGTCAGCTTAGGTCTGCTCCTGAGCCATACTCCTAACAAACCGATTATTCTGAGAAGCATTTTATGCAGGATGTCTGTTTATAAATAGCTTAAATCTTGTGCTAATTGTAAATACCCATAATTAGGGCTTACTTCCCCCTCAATCTATATAGAGAAGAGTTACATAAATCATCCAAAATGCTGCCAAAATGCATCTCTTCTACCAGCCTGGCACATTGTTTCTACACCCTGCATATTACTGGTAAAGAGTGGAGTGGTTTAGGGTGCTGCTTGAGTAAATTTGATGAGAATGTATGCATATATTCCATCCCTTAAGCTGTGCTGCCTTAGTATGAGTCACCTAAACAGGGTTCGAAAGGCAAAAGAAAAGTTAATGTAATATATTTAATGACATTATTATGTAGCCAGCCAGGCATGGGGCCAGATTATGCATGGTGGGCACTGTACACAGCAGGGAAGAGAGAGTCTGTACTCCAAACACCTTGGAACCTAAACAGACAGAAAAGATGCATCATTCTTACTTCACGACGAGGGAACTTACACAGAAGGATTAAGTAATTTGAATAAATTACTAAAAGACTAAGCCAGAGCCAGGGACTGAGCCTGTAACTCCAATCAGTAGACAGAGGCCATATTACAAGGACATCCTTTCTCTTCTGATTTGCCTCTGGTTTTACTCAGATAACTTAATGAGCAGATGAAACACAATCAGTTAAATAGTTCCTCGATCATTTTGCCAGAAAATAAATTAAATTTCTTCAATTTCTATACATAAAGTTGTATACAGATTAGATTTCTAGATTTCTGGATTTTCACTGATTTCAGTGAGATGTTTCCAGTTACCCAGGAAGATCTTAGTAAATGAAATCACGTTAAGTTTAGACTGATTTAACTGATATCACAGCCAACCAGAAATTACTTTGAAGGCTCAAGAATAAACGTTGTGGTGAACTTTTTTTTTTAATAGAGTATATAAAGACCTCTATTAGTACATCAGATCATTATAATCACTAAGCAACTACACACAACGTCCTTCCAGTAGTAGTTTAAAGGCTACTGAATTTCTAATAATAAGAATATGTAGTTAATAAATATCACCTTCTCATCCCAAGTGATGAACTAATTCCAAACAAGTATTTTAATACCAAGATTTACATGATTGGTGCTAATTCTTGGAGATTAGTATCTCAATCCTGTCTCAACATACAAGAAAATACTCACCAGAATTCACTTTGGAAGTTATGTGCGTCACATCTATTTTCTTGGATTTGACCAAAGGTGAAGACCGCATGGAAGAACTTCGTACAGAGCTTTTTTTGTGATCAGAAGCCTTGCTTATTTTAGAAAGAGGTGCAAAGATACCTGGAGAGAAAATTGTATGTGCCAAAAAAGAACCAGGAATAATATTAATGTAACAAAACTTTCTGGCTACTATCACTTACATCAATTAATTTAGGGTTTTTTTTCAGTCACGATCATGGCTTGCTGTGCTGTCAAAGCACTTGTACGGTCGGGAGGACTAGCTCAAATGAACAGTGAAACCAAAAGGCTTATCAAGCAACTTGAATAGAGTAATTCAGTAAAATTATCAATTAGAATCTTTGTCCTAATGGTAACGTGCAGTCTCCACTGTTACAAAAAGCAAGACTTTGTGTATCATGACTGTCTATGAAATATCAATTAAAATACCTCAAGCTGGAAGTTAGAAAACAACTACACATGTGAATCTCTTAAAAAGGAAGGCAAAGCAGGTAGAGGACCATGGCCATTATTGTTACAACACAAACAAATAGCTTCAACAATACATATGGAAAAACAGGAAAGACTATTATCTCACAGTTTCAAGGAAATAACCAGAAATAACCAGAAATTTTGACTGGTTGGTTGTTTCAGTGGTTTTGCAAATAGTTGCAGCCAAAACACTAGGAACAGTTAAAAGAATCAATAAAACAAACAATCAAAGCATTAAAAAGAAAAGCAACAGAATTTGTTATCTGTTTTTATTCTCCCAAAAGGGTCATATCTTCCAACACTTTTTTAAAAATTCAGGTTTTAAAAAAATGTAAGAAAAAATTAAAGGTTATACCGCGTTTCGGTGCACACTTGAAGTACTGGACTTTTCCAACACTTCCATTGTTCTTTCCTTCTGGTTCATCCAACTCTATGCCAGCCCACTGGCCACTGGCAAATTCCGTTGTGCCACAAAATCTTAATGTACCAACCTAAAGCAAAAAGCATCAACACAGGATTACTTTGTTAAACAAGTATTGTTTACAAGAACGTAGTATAGATTATGAAGGAGACACCAAGTCATCTCCAAGCTTTTGATCAGAACAGAGAAATACAAACATAACAATCTCCCTTGATTTTTGACATTCCTATCTTTCAGTGCCAGCCAATGCATTTTCCAAAATGTATCAGTCTTTCTGCATATATTTTTGTATTAAACAAAAGCAGTGGTTATTGACAGATCTCGTAACAGACAAGAATTAGACAGTAAGCACTACTATACAATACAACTCAAGTCAGCAAGGTAAAGGAGTATATGCCTAACCAGAAGTTTTACTTTCAGTGTCTTCCACGCCAATAGTTCCAGAATCATGGCTAGATATCTTGCTGAATTGGAGATTCCATGGAAATACTAGATAAAAAATTCTATAAATACATCCGTGTATGTATAAATATGAATATATATACACATA